GAGATTTAGCTGGTGAAGAGGATGTGGGCTTTTTTTAGTTGCATGGCTTAGCTAAGCTCATGCTTTGCGATACGGCTCTAATCCGCCTCTGAATAATTCAGCAGCTGCGCACTTGTCTGGTGTCGCCTCATTCTCTTCCTTCTGACTGACATAACTCGGTCGCCATTTCTCCCATGTCCAGACAGGCAAGACAGAGCGTCCGTATTGCAGTGTACAATTTAGGTTGACTGTTGAACGCCACTTCCATGTGAGTATCGCCTTTCTACAAGCGTTCAACCCAAATCGGTGTCATTTGAATACACAATAGTTCAAACTTGGGAAGTGGCTTTTGTGGATGACTGCATTCGTCGTCACATCGACTTTCCTTTACCTTACCATTAGAAATTTCCTAACTGAATTCAGATGCATGCATTTACCGTGTACCTATGCAGTCTTTATGTTTCGTGTCTCACTTAAATCCCATCCTCTCTCTTCAGGGCCCCACGGGATCCGATAAACGCCGACGAGATGGCCAAGGATTTCTCTCAGCAGTTCTCCGACACTCCGGTGACCGTGGGACAGTCGATGCTCTTCCGCTTCAACAAACTCCTTCTCACGGTTGAAGTGAAGCAACTTTCCAGTGCGTTTCCCCTTCCTTTCCCATTAAATTACCTTGGGTTGCCTTTTCTATGCTACCCACCGAATGCGCAAGTGTCGAACTTGCTGCTTTTTATTTGCAGCTGGTTGACTTCCTGGGGGGAGGGGGCAAGTAGAAGTCGAGTCGCTTTGTGCGGACACGCCCTGATTTTGTCCGGTGCTTTCTGCAGGTTGGAGGAACTGCCTTTCAAATAGATACGCTAGATTTACGGCCTCTTCAAATGCTGGCCGAAATTTTGAAATGCGTTAATCAGAGGGGGGGGGCTTGTAAGATTAATTTTTGTACGGCATAACAAGCTGCTAGCTTTCGAAACTGCCTCTTTCAACAACTACACTCTGTCGAAGAATGAATACTTAAGTAGTAATCATTTCTCCATAGAATTTTTATTAGAAAAAATGCATGAAAATATTATTTATTGTATTCGTTGGTTAGTAATTTATGCCTTCAAACGTTAAACTTGAAGCAAAGGTATTCTTCGATTTAAAAGGACTATAAAATTCCCAAATAATTTTGAACCCATTCAGAGTTTCCAGACCGCATGCTTTATATTTTCTTGCATTTATAAACACAATTAAGTGTACCATATAGTACACTGTTAAAGTAGCTTTAATGAATTTTAAAATAGGAAACTTTATGAATGGGCATATTGCTGTCTCCTAATGTCCTAATTATGCGCTTTTTAATAAATTTAAAATGATTGTTTCTCGAGTATGAGACTTGAAGAAAGCGGGATCTACTATCCAAAAAGTACACGAAAGAATG